AGGAGGAAAGACTCTTTTAGAGCACAGAACCAGTTTGTTAGGATCTCATTCTACAAGGGTGGCTACCATTCCAGTGGTGTCCACAGGACTCCATGAAGAAAGCCAGCCTCCTTCTAAACAGGGAATACCCCACCCACATACTGGCAAGTGTGGGTTATACAAGTTTCCCAAACACTGGCGAGTGGAAGAAATTTTTCACCACAGCTTGTTTTACCTCTGATTCTGCTTCCCACCAGAATTTCAAATGAGGCCAAAGCAGCAAAATCCCAGCACACTGATTCTCAAACTTTCAGGAGGTGAAGAAATGCTGAGGATGCCATGACAAAGGCAGTTCAGGAACCTGCCTAAGGTATTGTTGAAGTTCAGTGAATATGAGACTAGGACCAAAGCATCTCAATGTTTTTGCAATTGCCCCCTAATGACTCCACTACCGTAGTCAACTGACCCTAATTTGAGAAACATTTCCTTCCTTTGACCTTTGGGATTTTAGAGCTGGGAATTGGTGGACATGACAGCATTAATTGTTTCAACTTTTGTCTGTCTTTGTCTTCTTTGGAATTCTATCCAGGTTCATACAGGGAACCATGGCAGGCCTCTTATAGATGAAGCTTATCTCAACCCCTGTCTTCCCTCCCCCTCTGATGAAATCTTGTTCCACTACCAAAAGAGAACAGACTAGACAGTCAATTGCAGGGAACTCATTGTTGTCTCAGACCAGACTGTGTGGTGGATTTATACATGGACAGAAAAAAAAGAATGAGGATCTTTACACAATAGGGGAAATATCAGATTCTTGGTTAAGGTTCAGTAAAATAAGCACAAAACTAAGTTCTAGGGAGATTAAAAGACCTATGTCAGGAGCATTTAACTCAATAAGAAAGAGCATTCTAGTTGACTCTCTAGATCCCTATGCCTGAGACAACGGGTCCAAACCAGTCATGAAAATCCCTCTGCCTTTCCAGGTATTGGCTCATGGATGTATTAAGCCAATTTGGATCAATGAGTTGCTAAGACAGGTTTGCCTGGAGCCTCTGTATAAAACCAACCACTCTTTTTCTCCCTGTGGCTCTAAGTAAAGTGTCATGTCACCCAGCTGCTGCCAGCAGCCACCACAGAACCGTAAGAGGAACCAACAACCTCAGAATAGAATTCATGTTGCAGCGTAAGAACAGAAAAACAAAAAGTGCCCAGGTGACTGAAGACATCATTGGGGCACCAAATCAACCAACCCTGAAACCTGTATCCCACTGCTAGACTTTTCATTATGAAAGACAATAATCTCATTATTTAGGCCAATTTGAGTCAAGGTATTCATTAACTTGTAGCTAAGTCTCCTAATTTTAAAAATCATCAGAATTCAGTATGTGAACAGAAAAGGTTTTGAAAGAAATTGAAACAAAAAAATCAGTTTAAGAAATAGGTTTGGAGCCGGGTTTGGTGGCTCAACCTGTAATCCTGTGCTTTGGGAGGCTGAGGTGAGTGGATTGCCTGAGCCCGCGGGTTCGAGAC